TTTAATGTTTTGACATTTGTTAATTTTAAATCATTTTAAGTCTTATAAGTTGTCATATCTATAATTAATATATGTTCATAAACTCAAAGAAAATTCATCAATATCTTAACCACCGCCTCAGATAAACGGTTGTAATTTTTCCTCATAAAAATATTTCATAAAGGTTGGGCTATCATTTTCCTCTTTAACATACAAGGTCAAAAATCAAAAGGTTATTTCAAAAGGTTGGGCTATGTACTGAACTGAAGTACATATCAAACAGTTTAATGGAACATATCTGAGGATTATATGTGACTATCACTGTGCTCCTGGAATTGAAGGAGCCTGTAAAAACTAATAACCTAATGCCATTTTGTAACACCACATTTGCTAAGGTCGATGGAGGCTTGTTCGAGGCTAAAATCACACAACAACAATTCCCAGGCAAGATGACCGGCCGGCCGGCGAGGGAGCACCGTCTCCGTCGTCACTATAAGAACGAAGAACACACAGGCATTAAAGCAAGGAACAGGATTGTTTCATGGTTTCATTTTCTTAACTGAGTTCACCTATTGACCTTTGAGTGCTCACCTTCCGCAGAGTGCTGGTGGAAGCTAGAGCTGCAAGTTGATCCTTTCGGCCCATTTAAAGATATCGGAATAAACATGATCTCCGCCCAGTTCTTTGCCCGTGGCCCCTGCTGCTATTCGTAAAACATCCTCGATCAATGCGAAATTCCCCATTATGTCCACGTGAGTGCCACTTTGGGTGCCTCGGCCTTCGAGAAGATTAGCCGGAGGGGCATGATTGTATTCCCGTATGTAAGTACGGATGCCTGAAGGGTTGAATCTAGTTTGCCTCGCCAACCTTTCGCACACATGAATCCAGCACTTAAAACAGGAACTGTTTCATCTCCATCAGCAGAGAAAACACCACCTTTTAGACATGAATCTTCACTGTCACCCTCGGCTGAGGTGTCTATCTGAAACGGAATAGAGCAATCGGTGCCACTATTTAATTTGTAGACGTAAGCTCTTTCCGTAGGGATTCCAACTCCGTACATTGAGTAGATCTCCATGTCTGGAGCATTTGGTAACCTGGAAATTTATATTGCACTTGTCAAGTAAACATGGAGAAAGGGAGGAATGAGGAAACTCAAAGGCAAAACAATCTGGTCGAAAATAGACAATTCACTAACAACAATAGCTCACAAATGTTAACCGCAAGTCTAGTAATCCTAAGAAGATAAGCTAAGCTATGGCATTGGCTAAGAAAGCAAACTCAACAAATTAAAAGATACTATATCATGATTGAATCATTTCATTCAATATAAGGGTTCTCTAAAGACACCTTCATGGTTAACTACAATTACTGCACCAGAAAAAAAAACTAGAATAACCCAGAAGTCGAAAAACCTCACTTTATTTCTAAGGGGTTTGACCAATATTTGTAGTGTTGATATTTCGGGTCATCCAAATTATCTGCTATCCCATACGAAAAATGAGCGCCTCCCCGTGCCATCAACTTGGGGGCAACAAAATAAAGCAGATCTAATATTGATCCAGCTGTGTAAACCTTGTTATCAGCAACTGATTTAATATGGTGATTCCCTATTTCATGATACTCGATCCATATATCACAGTTGGTTGTTAAGTTGGGCAGCTTAACACTCTTCACAGCATCCTGCTGATCAACAATAATCATATGAACTTCAGGCTACAAACTAGCAAACCAAATATCTCCTAGCATGCAAAAGCAGAAAGCACAATGTATAATGACCATCATCTCGGAATTGCACTTTAATGAATAAAATTTTCCAGAAGGGCATGCTTGCATTTGACATAGAAGGAGGGTGTTGAAACTAGAGAGATGATCCTTATACTTGAGCAAAATAATTTGATGATAGCTAGGATGGTACCTGGAAATCAACCCTCTTGATCGTGGAAGAATGCGCCTCGGCCACATCTTTCCCAAATGAAATAATTCTCCCATAATTCACACTTTTCACATTATCTTCCAAATTGATATTTGCATTTTGTACCATGCTATTGATGCTGTTGTTCCTCAACTCTTTTGCGCCACATTTAAAGCTTTCTCCTTCAGGTGACCAATCAAGTCCACCCCAGATGGTGTCCCCACCTTTTGGTATCATTGACATGGTGGAATCCCATGTACGGGTCATCCGCATTAAATGCTGGAAATTTTGCAGACCGAACACATCTTTGTCCAGAAAACCTGGTGCGAAAGCCCTGTTTAACAATTAGCATTTCATCAAGCTCCCAAGACAAAGTAAACATGCACATTCTTCATATCTGAACAAAACTACCTTATGTTTACGAAGAGTGAATTGAAACATGGTGGTATGGTTTTAAGATGCAACAGCACGCTAGAAAGCACGATAACACCATTATGAAAAGAAACTATTTCCAAGGTTCTAGGAATATAAAATCAAAACTGACTACAACAATTGCTTGCTTGAAATGACTGCTCTTAAGAAAACGACAACAGAGGGTGCACATGTTGAGGGAGTAATGCAAATTGAACAATGATGCATATTTTAGTGATAGCTTAACATTGATCTAACCTTTTACTTTGTTCACTCAAGAACTAATAACAATACTATCAGAATGGAAGCCATTAGAAAAGTCAGATTTATTACTGATTTATCAAATGAAAAAACTTTATTTTTGTAAAACTGACGCCATAAAAGCAAAGCATTAGAAAAGTTAGCTCTTTATAACAGGAACATTTTTCCAAGCACATGATCCGAGTGACATGCGTGAGGGAAAACTATATCAATGCAACAGAAATTCTGGGAAACCATATATGAGGCCAATTCATTGGTTTGAAATGTAGAAATATGACAACTCAAACACTACCAAGACAAGAAATACATCTTTGTTCGTTAAAAAAATAATTCAAAGAGGTACCTGGCAACGGCTATATCCCTGGCTTCAACAGAAAATAGTCCTGAGACCGATTTTGGGACACCTAGAAAGGGTCCACCGATGTTCATTACTGCCTTTATGTGCTTGGCACACCAATCTGATCCACCCCCACCACCCATGGGAGCTGTTGCTTCTACCCATTTCATGAAGTGCAGAAAGTACAGGACACCCATTGAGTGCGGAATGACTACTACCTTTTTCCCACCATTTGTTGCTACCATGAGTTCTATGTTACTTTTCATTCTGCTCAAAGTTTGGTCCCTGACCTGATTTATTCAAATAGACATTAAGTGATAACATCATTTCAGCGAGCAATAACAATACAATTGCATACCTCAGTGTTCTGGAATGATAACCTCCATTCATAGGCAGCCATATACATTGTTTTTTCCTCGTATCCGATTTGAGCCAAATTAGCAATTAACACAGCCCAAACAAAATATCCTGCTGCAAAATAATCAGCTGCCACAATCCAGATACTGGTCTGACCCTTATACCCGGAGGGTCCAGTCCAGTTTCATTATCGAGTGACATGTGCTGAGCCCAGCATAATGGTCTACAATGAAATTGGAAGAGCAGTGGGGAAATAAACTTTATTAAACTTCATGGATGACAAAACTTCTGCAAATAGTTAAAAGATAAGGGTAGAAAGCAATAACAGGTCTAAGTTAGAACAATTTCCGATCTTCTAATGGCATTTTCATTAAATAAAAAAGAACAATGTTGAAGTTTAAAGTCAGCATAGCAACCATATTCAAACAGACGAAGCATTGATCAGAAAACTTCAGAAAGCAAAACCAAGAAGGAATTGGATGTCAAGAGAATGCAGTATTACTTCAACGATCAAATAGCCAGAAACTACATAGACATCGCACATTGGAAAGACAGGTTGGCCTTCTTCAAAACTTGAAGCAACCCAACATTTATAAAGGGTAATGATATCATAAAACAGGGAAACTCCTGAGTTGGCTCTAAACAACAAAGTTCAATAAGACCTACGGAGAGTTTAAGTAGTATTTTTCTTCGCAAGAGTATAAGATTCGCCATACCAACACATGTTTTTTATAACTATCTATTGAGATGCTCTAGCTAGAAAACACACCAAATGCAAAGATTGTTACGAGGAAAAAGCAGGTTCCCACTCCTTGCCCAGAACACCAATGATTGAAGTGTATTCTAATCCACACAGCACGACAGTGATCAAGTTGCAGAAAAGAGTAACCAGAGATGCATTTCCAATGCCCCATAATCAAACATAAAACAAAAGGAAAAAGCATTTGCAACAATTAGAAGGCTTCAACTATAGAAATCAATTAAGCAATATTTTCTTGTGCAAATCAGTAAGCTTTGAGGAACTTTCTCTAATAACTTTCAACCTAAATCAAGATCAGAAAAGAACACTGGTGGCCTTCCCAAGGCCAATGATACCTTTTATGCAAAACCTAGAAAGGGAAAACAAAAGGAAAAAAAGAAGGGGACAAAAGTTAATGGTACCTTTTATACAATTCCCCAAAGGTTCCACCCCAAAGACGTTTCCTAAACAAGCCTTCAGCACATTGGTGTCCTTCCCATAGCTCGAGCCCACCGGTCACAATCCCAGGGACGAACACCACGGGATGATTCACCGTCAAGCCCTCTTTCCTCAACTTAACACTCGGTGGGTCGGTCAACGACCCGGTTATCGCCTCCGTCACGTATTGAGGGATCAAAGCGGGCATTGTGTTGTACAACAATAACAAGAGCCACCACATCGAACACACAAAACCAATGAACCAACAACAACTGTCCCATCACAACCATTTCTGAGAAGTATTCCTCTCTTTCCTGGGACTCGAGAACAATCCCTTCTTCTCGTCCTCGTCTTCGATTCTGGATCCTACAAAGTTCGAGGACATTGACGAATCCGTTCCCTTCCTCCGCCGCCGTAAAACGACATCGTATTTAAAATTCCAAAGAGATAAAATACTACTATTATCAATAAATGCTCTGTAGTTTGGCTAATAATGATCCTGATTCGGAACCTCCCTCCTTAAAAATGATCCTGTTTATTCTCCTCCCAAGTGGACACCGACGATGGTAAAGATAACAACAGCCGCCGGCGGAGTTACAAGTGGAAGCACGTGATTGGATATTGTTTATAAGTTTCCACTAAACTCTTTTTTTTAATACTCCCAGATTCCTCCAACCGCAGGTCCTATTCTTAATTTTATTTTTTATGCTAGCGGTATCGGGAGCCGCTTGACCCTACAGATGTCAGACGATCGACGGCGGTGTGAAGGTGGCGACACAAACCGGTGGATTTCAACGGTGATTTGTTAATGGTGATTTGTTTTCCAGCTCGTGAAGAGGCGAATTTGGAATGATGCTGGCTTGTAGATAAACATGAATTAGTACAAATATTTTCAACTTTCGATGTTGTCCCTCCTTTGACCGATTGACAAATTGTTTATAAATTAAAGAATTTTATTACAGAGATTTTGATAATATTAATAAGCAATTAGGGACGGATTTAGACGGTGTAGATGAGGCAATTATCTTTTAAAATTTAAAATTATTGTATATTTTAGATTTTATTTATTTATTATTAAAAAAATATTTTCGACTCTTAAAATTTTATAAATTTAAATTTATCTCTTAATATAAAATCATATGTACACAACGATGTTTGATTGAAACTACCCTCAACACCACCAAGGCACGAGTTTCATGAGAATTATTAAACTATTCCTTTGTTTATCAATGAATTAGATCAATAATTGTAATGAAACAAATTATTGGTCTAAATCTTTTTTTAGTTTCTTTATCATGAATAAATCGTGGGTTTAATTCACATATTATAATTAAAGTAATCTTATTTATTTGTTCTTTAAATTCTAAAATTCAATAGAATGATATAGGGATAATATAAATTATAGGTTTAATTCATATATTATAAATTACAAAACACTCCTTTAAAAACTATTTTATGTAATATAACTACAATTGTATATAGTATGACACATGTATGTATACACGTATATCTATATGTATAAAACACTCCTTTATCCCTGCTGTACTTCTTGTTTCTCGAGTTGTATGGTGCTTGTGGCTTAATGTGTTTAGTTTTGTTGTTTTGTACTGTTTTTTTTCCAGATTTTGTATTTTGCTGAGAAATGAATAAGGTTTAATACAAAATAAGTGTCCAAACTATAATATTTTTATAAAAGGTGTCTAAACTATTTTTTGAATGCTTCCGGTGTCCAACGTTACCAATTTAGGTGTTCGGGCCGTGAACGGCGTTTATTTCTTCTGTCAAGTGACACATGTCACAATCTAATAATTTTAAAATTTATTTTTAAAAAATATTAACATATTTATAAAAAAAATCATAATTTCTCTTAAATTATAAAGAAGCCCCATATCTCTAAAATCCCCAAATCTTAATCTTAATCCTAATCCATCGCCATCGCCACCGACATAGTCCCTGTCACCTTCTCAATCATGTGTTGTCGTAGTTACCACTGATTGACCGTCGAAATCGTGTGGGATCACAATTTTCATCATAGGGTTCCTGAGGTATAAAACGTCGATTCGTCATCGTCAAAAAAATATTAAAATATTTTTGACAAAAAATAATCTTTATTAAATAATATTTAAAATCATATATTAAAGTTTTTTATTAATTTGTTTTTGAAAATAACTTTAAAATCAAAATGAAAAAGAAGAAATGAAATTAATCAAACTAAAATTCATAGATAATCGATTAAAAAAATCAAATTTTATTCGTAAATAAAAGAGATAATTTTAAAGAAAAGTAAATAAATCAAATAAAAATATTTTAAATTTCAAATTTTACGCTCCTTTGCAACGACTATTTTTTTTTTGATCTATCTTAGGTAAATAAATAAAAATTTGACTATTTATTCCCGCAATCCCGCCCATCTCAGGTAAAATTACTTCTGTTTTCAAACCCTAACATTTCTCTCACCCGCTATCATATCCTCTCTTTGTTCCATCTCAAACTCTCCAATTACACTCTCGAACGACAAGAATCTCGTTGCTATATCTTCATTTGGCCTTTCGTATTTTTTACGGTTTCTACTGCTTATGATTTAGTTATTTTTGAATTTTTCTTGATTACTCTTTATTTTTCAGCGACAAGAAGATGAAGAACAGTGTTTTATTTTGTTGTGATTTTACTTCTCGATTTGTTAATAGAGTCCCAATCCCTTGATTTTCTCATATGATTTTATCGTTGATGGTTTTAAATGGTACACTGCTCATTCCTTTTTGATAGTACTTACACTTTCCCCCTTGATTTTCTGTTTTGGCGATGATAGTTTAGTCTTTAATACAATTGCATACCTCAGTGTTCTTGATTTTCTTGATTACAACGTGGATCATTTGTCTATGTATTTGGATGTTGCCGACCCAGAAAGTCTACCCTGCTGGAGTGGATATGCACAGTTCACTTTGACAGTAAATAATCAACTTCAATCAGAAAAGGTATCATCGTTTACCTTGCTGTCTATGCACTTACCGTTTAAGGTATGCTTTTGTTACCTCTGTTGAACAGATTAATATGGACTTGATGCAACTAAAGGCAGGTCATATCTGATTAATTATCACATGAGAAAGAAACGTGACAGTTTAACATGTTTATGATGCTATATTTCTCAATCTGGATTTCTTGATACTATCATTAATAATGCTATATCAGTATTTTTTTTCCTTGTAAAACTTTTTTTTAAAGTTATTTCAAGGTACTTAATTTTTGTCCAGAATCAAGGCATCCTTAATATATCAATGTAAATTTCAAGAACCATATTGAAGCAAGTTACTTGCTTGGTTAATTGCTGATTCTATCATATTAGATATGAGAGTAATCTACTTTTAGTGTCATCAGAATCAGTATTGCCTATGTTTTCTTTCTCTATAGTTTACCTATAAATATGTCTTCTTTTCTCTCTGAATTTGCAGGTATGTTGGAGATTCTGATGGCAACATCAAGGTTTTTAAGATTGAACAAGAAGTACTTCATGTTATACAAATGAAATACACTATACCTTTCTCAGCTTCTCATGGTAAGTCAGCTCACGGACAGCGATCAATGTGTGTACACAGCACCGCCTGAACTTCCCTCTTTCAGTGATATGAAGGATTCTGATGATGAAGGGTTTTCTAATGTAAGTTTTCTCTTGCTTTCGGCAATGCTAGCTAAGTGCATTTAGTAAAATTTTCTACTCAAGTATCCAAAACAATTTGAATAAATAATATATGAATCTTCCTTCCTTTTAATGGCAACTGAACTCTGTGATGGTCATCATCTAGTAATGGTCTGAAACATTTTACTTTGTCTTTATAAAATCATATAGGAGGAGATGCTCTGTTTTTTATCCTATTATTATTTAAATGCTATTACTATTGGAATGTTGTGAATTTGAAGTAAAATTACTTCTGTTTTCAAACCCTAACATTTCTCTCACCCGCTATCATATCCTCTCTTTGTTCCATCTCAAACTCTCCAATTACACTCTCGAACGACAAGCATCTCGTTGCTATATCTTCAGTTGGCCTTTCGTATTTTTTACGGTTTCTACTGCTTATGATTTAGTTATTTTTGAATTTTTCTTGATTACTCTTTATTTTTCAGCGACAAGAAGATGAAGAACAGTGTTTTATTTTGTTGTGATTTTACTTCTCGATTTGTTAATAGAGTCCCAATCCCTTGATTTTCTCATATGATTTTATCGTTGATGGTTTTAAATGGTACACTGCTCATTCCTTTTTGATAGTACTTACACTTCCCCCTTGATTTTCTGTTTTGGCGATGATAGTTTAGTCTTTTTGATAGTACTTACACTTTCCCCCTTGATTTTCTGTTTTGGCGATGATAGTTTAGTCTTTAATACAATTGCATACCTCAGTGTTCTTGATTTTCTTGATTACAACGTGGATCATTTGTCTATGTATTTGGATGTTGCCGACCCAGAAAGTCTACCCTGCTGGAGTGGATATGCACAGTTCACTTTGACAGTAAATAATCAACTTCAATCAGAAAAGGTATCATCGTTTACCTTGCTGTCTATGCACTTACTGTTTAAGGTATGCTTTTGTTACCTCTGTTGAACAGATTAATATGGACTTGATGCAACTAAAGGCAGGTCATATCTGATTAATTATCACATGAGAAAGAAACGTGACAGTTTAACATGTTTATGATGCTATATTTCTCAATCTGGATTTCTTGATACTATCATTAATAATGCTATATCAGTATTTTTTTTCCTTGTAAAACTTTTTTTTAAAGTTATTTCAAGGTACTTAATTTTTGTCCAGAATCAAGGCATCCTTAATATATCAATGTAAATTTCAAGAACCATATTGAAGCAAGTTACTTGCTTGGTTAATTGCTGATTCTATCATATTAGATATGAGAGTAATCTACTTTTAGTGTCATCAGAATCAGTATTGCCTATGTTTTCTTTCTCTATAGTTTACCTATAAATATGTCTTCTTTTCTCTCTGAATTTGCAGGTATGTTGGAGATTCTGATGGCAACATCAAGGTTTTTAAGATTGAACAAGAAGTACTTCATGTTATACAAATGAAATACACTATACCTTTCTCAGCTTCTCATGGTAAGTCAGCTCACGGACAGCGATCAATGTGTGTACACAGCACCGCCTGAACTTCCCTCTTTCAGTGATATGAAGGATTCTGATGATGAAGGGTTTTCTAATGTAAGTTTTCTCTTGCTTTCGGCAATGCTAGCTAAGTGCATTTAGTAAAATTTTCTACTCAAGTATCCAAAACAATTTGAATAAATAATATATGAATCTTCCTTCCTTTTAATGGCAACTGAACTCTGTGATGGTCATCATCTAGTAATGGTCTGAAACATTTTACTTTGTCTTTATAAAATCATATAGGAGGAGATGCTCTGTTTTTTATCCTATTATTATTTAAATGCTATTACTATTGGAATGTTGTGAATTTGAATTGTAGTGTCTTAATGGTTGGATCCCATGTCAGAGATGCAACCTTTTCGGTGTTGAAAGATGTAGCAAAGGTAATATTCACTCATTGTCTTTTAATCTCTTTAATTCCACAAAATTTATCCTTATATAAATAAAGATTGGATGCTCGAGTTTATTATGTGTTTTACATATATATTTTTAATTAAATAGACTACCATTGACTTTCTTGCCAAAAGAGTTAAATCTATAAATTATATATGTGGTTTAAGGGGTGATTTTTCCCCGGAACAAACAAATGCCATATGACAACCTTTTTGTTGTCAGGATCTTAGGTTTTGCATAGTTTTCTCTGTAATTTAAACTTTCTATGAAATTAATTCCGTGGATGCGTATTTAATGTTAACCTACTGGGTTTTGGGTGAATAATTGGAAAAAGTTATTATATAAGTTGAGAGTGGATGATTTGGGTTGTGATAATCGTATGTGTGAAATTAGGCACATCATGTTTATGCATGGAATAAAATGTATGTTTATGAACATAAGTTTTTGATGCTAACGAATTGTTAATTTAAGGCATCATATTTGTTAAACTTTGGGAAGTTTGTTGCATGATAAGTAGTTTCAGACTGAGAACTATTGTGTCTGCTCCAATGAAAAATGGTACATCGTAAATGTAGTTTTGATGTTTATTGCATCTCCACTTTTAGGTTGGGATTTCTTTGCCTATTTCTAAGTGATTTTTAGGTTGGATGCTTAGCAAGGCCTTAGTGATAGGTTGCTTGTTGTTTGTCACATTTTTATTCTCCTGGTTTTGCAATTTTCAAGATAAATCCATGTGGCTGAACTTGAAATCTTCTGATACAAAACACACTCTGTGAATGTCTTGAATGCTTTTATTTTATATATCTGACATTGAAGATTTAATGGGTTCATTCTCATTTTCTGTATCGTTAGGTTTATTTATTTCACTTAAAGTTTAGAGTGTATGCAGAAATCCTGAGGTGAGGAGACATTACGAGCACACTCTAGCAATGCTCAAGGAAGAGAAGAAAGAACTAGAATCACCATTCCACAATGAGAAATTGTTGTCTGCCCAGTTAAAGCAAGAACTAGCATATGCAAAGGCTTAAAACAAAAACCTGTACGAGGTATAGTTTTATTAATTTATTTTAAAATTAAATTATTTATAAATTATAAATTATAAAATATCATAAGATTATATTAATTGAAATTATGTTAATATATTCTTAAATTAAAATTTTCTAATATTATTTAAAATATTTTTATATAATTTTTATATAAATTAATTAATTTATATAATTTATGAATACATTAAGGATTAGGATTCATTTACACTGCGCAAAACTCTTTTAGTTTTACACTTTTTTAGTGCCATTGGATTTAGAGAAATCAAAGGTTGAGACTAACTCGTTTTTTTAGTGAATATCTGTTCATTTTCCACGGTTAATCTCATTCTTTAATTTCTTTCATCCAATGGTCCTAAAATGGTGTAAAACTAAAATATTTTTACATAGTGTAATTAGATCTTGCCCCATATAATATTATTTAAATTATAAATTTAAAATTATATTAATAAATTCTTAAATTTAAATTATTATAATATTAATTAAAACACACTCTAGAAATCCAAAGGTGAGGAGACTGGCGAGCACACTCTAGCAATGCTCAAGGCAGAGAAAGAAGAACTAGAATCACCCTTCCACAATGAGAAATTGTTGTATGTCCAGTTAAAGCAAAAACTAGCATATGTAGCATAGGCTTAAAGAAGACATGCACAAGGTATAGCTTTTTTAGATGTATTATGATGGGCCACATAGTTCTTCGACTGTTTTAATTGTATAAGTTTGGAAAAGTAGCTTAGAAAATTTACTTACTAAATTCCTTTTGCATCTTAGGAGCTCCAATCCGTATGCGATCAACTTGTCTTGAGCAGTGAAGATGTTTCAAATTAGAGATATACTTGAAACAAGAGAACAATGGTACGTTGCTTATAATGTTTTGATTTGTTTCCCTTACTGATTGGTTTTTCAAACTCTGATTTATTAATTTATTCTTAAATTAAATTATTTATATAATTTATTAATATAATAATAATAATATTTAAATTATAAATTATAAAATATCATAAGAATACATTAATTTAAATTATATTAATATATTCTTAAATGAAATTAATTTAAATTATCATTGTTTCATTTGGATAATGATTATCATTGTTTGATTTGGATAATTTATTCTTAAATTAAATTATATAATTCAAACTCGGATTATTAATGTTTGATTTGGATAATGATTATCATTGTTTGATTCGAATTATGATGTGAATTGTGACTTTATAGATTTTAAAGACATGATGTGTTAGATGATGTGATTTGTATAATGTTTGATTCAATGTGTCTCTCTATAGGGTGCAATATTTTTTTTGTTAGTTATCTGATTGATTGACATTTTCTTTGTTTATTGTGAGCATAATTGTTTTGAGATTATTGATTGTATGGTATTTTGTTTGGAAAATGTCTTGTGAAATGTTGATATATCGAACTTAGAAATTAGGCAATGCATTTGGATTATTTATATATGTTATATTCTTACATTCGGATAAAATTAGAATTCTAATGATATATGTTGTCAAGTTATATAAGGATGTCACTTTGGATTCAGTGGCCTCAGCCTTTGTGGCAGACCCAACTTCGGATGATTTGTAAGGTGTACCGGTGCATGATTATTTGCATAATATTCGAACAATGATTATTATTGCTTGTTTTAGATTATTATTATTATTATTATTTGTTGTTTGAAAAATGTTATGTGAAATATGTTGATATATCAGATTTAGAATTTATGCGATGCATTTAGATTATTTGTATATGTAATATTTACATTCGGATTAGATCAAAATTCGAATGAAATATTTTATCATGTTATATTGGGTTTGGATTGATAGGGGAAGTTTAGTGTATTCACTTGATGTGTTGAATGTCACTTCGAATTAAGTAGCCTTTGTCTTTGTGGCGGATCCTACTTCGGATGGTGTGTTGTAGTTAGTGGTTCTATGGAACATACGTTTCGGACGGTGTGTAAGGCGTATGGGTGCATTATCATTTACATAATATTCAGACTGTGATTATCATTGTTTGATTCGATCTATGATGTGAATTGTGACTTTATGCACTTTAAAGACACCGTGTGAATATTTTTGTCAAGGTGTGTCACTATAGGATGTTATACTTTGTTTGTGAGGTTTCTGATTGACTTACATTTTCACTGTTTATTACGATAATGATTGTTTTGCGATTATTTGTTGTCTGGTATTTTGTTCGAAAAATGCTACGTGAAATAATTGATATATCATACTTAGAATTTATGTGATGTATTCGGATTATTTGTATAGGTAATATGCTTACACTCAGATGAAATTTGTTATAATTTTTTATTGGGTTGAGATTGATAAGGGAAGTTTCGTGTATTTATTCGATGGGGTGAAATTCACTTCGAATTCAGGGGTTTATGCTTTTGTAGCGAATCGTACTTTGGATGGTCTATTGGAGTTAGAGTGGTTCTGAAAACTTACTTTTCGAACGATGCGTAAGTCGTATGGGTGCATGAGCATTTGCATAATATTAGGACTGATTAATGTTTGATTTGGATTATAATTATTATTGGTTGATATGGACTATGATATGAATTGTGATTTTATGCTTTTTAAAGATATTGTGCAAATCGTTGGTCGTTGTTATAATATTTTTTCACGGTGTATCTCTCTAGGGTGTTGTATTTTGTTTCTGAGTTATGTAATTGACTGACATTTTTTTTGTTTATTATGAGCATGATTGTTTTTTTTTTGTTTGGAAAATGTTTTGTGAAATATTTTTATATTTCAGACATAGAATTTATGCGGTGCATTTGTATTATTTGTATATGTAATATTCTTCCATTTAGATGAAATATGTTATCAATTTATATTGGGTTGGGATTGATACGGAAGTTTTAGTGTATTCACTCCATAGGGTGAATGTAACTTTAGATTCAGGGTCATATGCCTTTTTGGTGGACAACACTTCGGATGGTGTGTTATAATTAGAGTGGTTCTCGGACTTTACTCTTTGAACAATAAGTTGTATGTGTGTATGATCGTTTGCATAGTATTCAGACTCTGATTATTAATGTTTAATTTGGAATATGTTTTTTATTGTTGTTTCGGGCTATGATGTGAATTGTGATTTTACACTTCAAAGATTGGGAATTGTTGGTCGCTGCTAGAATATTTTGTCAAGGTGTGTATTTATAGGGTGTTATATTTTGTTTGTGAGTTATCTGATTAATTAATTTTTTATTTATTTATTGCGTGCATGAATATTTTACGATTAATGATTATTTGATATTTTGTTCAGAAAATGTTGTGTGAAATATGTTGATATATCGGACTTGGAATTTATGCGATGCATTTGAATTATTTTTATATTTAATTTTTTTACATTTGGATCATTTAGTGTTCGAGTGAAACATCTTATCATGTTATATTGAGTCTTGATTGATAGTTCAATGTATTCACTCGACATAGTGAATATCACTTTAAATTCAATGGCCTTTTCCTTTGTGTCAAGCCCCACTTTGAATGGTCTGTAAGGTGTATGGGTCTATGAGTATTTGCATAATATTTTGAATATGATTATCGTTGTTTGATTTTGTCAAGGTGTGTTCCTATAGGGTGTTATATTTGGTTTGTGAGTTTTTTTTGATTGGGTGTCATTTTCTTTGTTTATTGCGAGATTTATTGTTTTGCGATTATTAGTTGTTTGGTATTTTGCTCGAAAAACGTTATGTAAATATGTAGATATATTGCACTCAGAATTTATGCGATGCATTCGAATTATTTGTATATATAATATTCTTACATTTGTATCTGATAAGAATTTGAATGAAATGTATTATCATGTTATATAAGGCTTGGATTGATAAGAGAAGTTCAGTGAATTCATATGACGGGGTAAATGTCACTTAGAATTTTGAAATTAATGGTATATGTTTTTGTGATGGACCCCATGGGATTTCCAAAATGTCTGATAGTAAATAAAATTTTTTGGTCCCATCCCCCTACGGGATTTCTAAAGCTGAACGTGGATGCTGCTATTAATGGTGATTGGAAGGCTTGCGATTTAGGCAGGATTTTAAGAGACGAGTGTTGCACAGTGTTAGGATCTTTTCAAGAAGCTGCTGGTCTGGGTCCTTTAATGGAATTTAAGGCCATTAAACATGGTTTAATTTTCTTTGAATCTTCTAGCTGGTGCTCTAAGAGACGGTTGATTATTGAGAGTGATAGTAAGTTGTATGTGGCCATGTTTCTTGATTTTTTTAGTTTTTTTTTTAAATTTGATTTATTTTCTGATTATATATTTGGGATTTTGTTTTTTACCTAAATCTAATAAATTGTTGACATTTTGGGTTTTCTTTTCTGATTACATGTTAGTGTTGTTTTATTTGTAAAGGTTTGTCGGTTCTACATGTGACCAATTCATTTTCATGTATGCCTGGTTTTGTTTCTCTTTTTATGTTTTGCTATGTCTTTGCTTTCTAAGAAAAATTATTAGAAATAAAATTTAGGACATTGTATTTTTATATTATTTGTTTGTAAAAGTAGTTTCTATGTATATGTCTACTTTTACAAACAAATATGTCTTCTTGCTCTATACTTTACCTATAAATATGTCTTATTTTCTCTCTTTCATATGGGAATTAATTTTTATGGAAATTGTAAAGTAGGTATGGGACTCGGAAAAGAGGCTCTTGTCTCATGTATATGTCTTTAAAGAAGAAATTACTTCTTTTGCAGTTATGCAAACTAGTCCCGACATGCAAGTCTAGCTTCGGTTCTTTGCTCTACTGTAGGTTATTTCAACTTTCAAGAGAGCACATGCGACAATTGAATTTTTCATATCGATTTAATTTCTAAATTTGCAGGTATGTTGGAGATTCTGATGGCAACATCAAGAGTTTTAAGATTTAACCAGAAATACGTCATGTTATACAAATGAAATACACTATACCTTTCTCAGCTTCTCATGGTAAGTAGACGTACATATCACTTAATATTTGAAGTATGTTAAGCATTATCGTGCATCGTAATCTTTTAACAAATAAACTTGACAAGGCTCAAGCCTTAAACCTTTGGGACGTTCTTGTTTACTCTCTAGTCTAGGCTTGATGACAGTGACATCATTATGCTCTCCTTGCCTACAAAATCCTCTTAAATGAATAAAGGATGCTACATGATTCATTTGGAGTTTCCTAATGGCTCATTTGAAACCTACAATGCCAAACTTCAGAGTTGACCGTTTATTTGAAAAACAGAAAGCTCTATGACCTTAATACTATCCCTGATTACAGGGTATATTGTTCATGTGTTAGTTCTGTTGTTGTCATTCTGAGAATTCTTGAAGTTATCTAATTAAGTTTTCATCATTTGTCTTTTGATCTGATGTTAATAGTTAATGAGCTCTTTTATCTATCTTTGCACTGGCAGTAATAGGTTCTTTTATCTAATGAAGTCTGACAAATGAAAATATGATTAAACAGAAGTCCTCATTTCCCACTCCACTCCCTTGGCTCATGAAAGTGGTGCAAAACAGGTTAGAAAAGGATCAATTAAACGTGCTTGGGCAGTAAAGTTGACTACAAGTTTGAAAAGTGAAAAAACCTCAAGTTGTAAGAAAAAGATGAAAGTTTCTTTTAGTGGTGACACAAAAAGTGTGTTGGCTGAAGATCAACAGCAGCAAGGAAATAGTAATATGGCTTTAGAAAGACTAAATGAAAAGGTTAATGGGAGTCCCACTGTTGGAATTTCATATGGTCATGGTTCAACAGTAAATAAGTTGCCTTTAGCAAATGAAGCGACCTTGTGTAAATGTGAGACCATTACAAATAAAACACAATGTTTTTTGTCTTTCAATAGAAGACTTTGAGGTTTAGTATTTCCTGTAAAGTCTATGATATGACTAAAATTGCCCATCTTTTCAATCAAATTGATGAAGTTTATTTGCTATATAAAATTGCAGGCTACAGGAGAGATGGTTAATTGCTATGAAGGTAGACCTGTACCTCAAGATTACAATGGTGGCTTTAAGGTCATACATTCGCACAAGAACTGCAGTGAATGGTAAAAGTGTTCATAACCGAATATGCTCTTTCGGTACAGTTTCGATAATTTTAATATATAATAATGTTATTTTTTTCAGGGCTCCTAATGTTTATTTTGAAAATGAACTCCAGAAGTCGAAAAATAAAATGCTCCTGTTGCGGACTCAAAGGTGCAGCGTTTGGCTGTTTCGAAAAGAGTTGTCATAAAAGTTTCCATGTTCCCTGTGCAAAATTAGTCTCACAATGCCGGTGGGATACTGTAAGCGATACAGATTGGGCAGTTTTCTGGACTTCATATGATTTTTTGGGAAGTTAAAGACTCGTTCCTTGTTAACGAGTGTATATTTATTTTGGATCACAATAGGATAACTTTGTAATGTTGTGCCCTCTCCATGCTTCTTCTAAGTTACCTAATGAAGAGTCAGAATCTCAAGGAAGTAGAAAAACAAGTGTTTTAAGAGGGTATGTTGAAGTTTCATCCAGTTTATTCTAGTTTCTTTACAAACTTCACCTTTTCATGCTCATGGAAATTTCATTAAGTTATTGCTTCATTTGTAGACATTTGCCAGTTCACAACAAGGAATATCCTAGAGGAAAAGAAGTCAATAGGCAGAAGAAAAGGAATCTTTGTGAATCGAGCGACAAATTGGTTCTCTGTTTCTCAGCTCTATAGTTGAAGAAAATGTAAGTGTCACAATTTATTGTCCTTATGCATTTTTGCTTTTTCATTCACATTAGGAAAATCCTCGACATTTACTATAATATTATTTATTTAAATTAAAATATCATAAATTAAATTAATTAATTTATAAATATATAAGGATTAGGATCCACTTATATTGTGTAAAACTCTTTTAGGTTTGCAGTTTTTTAGTCTCATTGGATTGAGAGAAATCAAAGGATGAGATTAATATGTTTTTTAGTATATATCTGTTCATTTTCCATGGTTAATCTTAGTCTTTAATTTCTTTCATCCAATGATCCTAAAATGATGTAAAATTAAAGAGTTTTACACACTATAATTGGATTTTGCCCCCATATAATAATATTAATATTTAAATTATAATTTTAAATTATATTAATATATTCTTAAATTAAATTGTTTAAATTATTATAATATTATTTAAATATTTTTATATAATTTATTCTTAAATTAAATTAATTAATTTATATAATTTTTAAATATAATAAGGATTAGGATCCATTTATAGTATGTAAAACTCTTTTAGTTTTACACATTTTTAGAGCCATTGGATTGAGATAAATCAAAGATTGAGATTAATTCATTTTTAGTGAATATCTTTTCATTTTCCACAATTAATTTCACTCTTTAATTTCTCCCATCTACTGGTCTTAAAATGGTATAAACTAAAAGAGTTTTACACAGTATAATTAGATCCTGCCCTATATAATAATATTAATATTCAAATTATAGATTTAAATTATATTAATATGTTCTTAACATAAATAATTTAAATTATTCTAATATTATTTAAATATTTTTAAATTAAATTAATTTATTCTTAAATTATATTGTTTATATAGATTATAAATATAATAATATTATAAATATCATAAGAATTTAGGTATAATTACCCTTTTATCCTAAGCCAACGGTTGAAATCCCATCTATAAAAATAAAAACTGAGCACTACTTATCACCCATTTAAGAAACTTGCCCATTGATTATATCAATCAATTCTTTAGATTCTCAGGTTAGTTTCTTTTACCCAATTCTTATATCTGTTACATTTTTCTTTTAATTTATACTTTTGTTAGATTATATTTTGTGATGAATTTTTTTTGGGTTTTTTTAAAAATTTGATTTATATTCTGATTACAGATTAGGGATTTTGTTTTTTTACCTAAATCTAATAAATTGTTGACATTTGAGTTTTCATGTCTGATTACATGTTAGTGTTGTTTTGAACTTGTTATTTCATTTGCAAAGGTTTCTCAGTTCTGCATGTGACCAATTCCCTTTCATTTATGTCTGGTATGGTTTCTCTTTTGTTGCGTTTCTCTGTGTTTGCTTAGTAAGAAAAAATACGAAAAATAAAATTTAGGATATTGTATTATTTGTTTGTAAAAATAGTTTCTATGTACTTCCATTTTCATTGTTTTCACATGTTGATGCCTTTGGTCTAGTGATTCAATTTTCTTTCTTCAGTTAACTCTGCCTTTTTTTATTCAAATTATTTTTTTAATGTGACAATCGATGAGTTATTTTGCATGTTCAATATTTTGCAGCAAGCTTTCTTGTTGTTTATGCTCTCTTTTTTTCGCATAGGCTTCTCACATGGTCAACAATATGAAGGAAGAGATACCATATTATTCCATGCCGGAGTACCATTCTCGGAAGGAAAGTTTGGGTGGTAATACAAAGGGCTAGATCATTAAGTACCGTTTTTTATTTCTATCCCTTTATTTATTTATTTATTTATTTATTCTGCATATATGAAATGAATATGCTTTTGCTTCATATATTAGACAAAAGAAATGAAAAACAAGATGCTTTGTTTCTATCCTATCATGATCCTTGATATGTGTAATATTTAGAGAAAATATATAAAGACTATGAGGTTAGAGATATACTTGAAACAAGGGAACAATGGTATGTTTCTTATAATGATTTGATTTGTTTCCCTTACTGATTGGTTTTCAAACTCTGATTTATTAATTTATTCTTAAATAAAATTATTTATATAATTTATTTATATAATAATAATAATATTTAAATTATAAATTATAAAGTATCATAAGAATATATTAATTTAAATTATATTAATATATTCTTAAATGAAATTAATTTAAATTATCATTGTTTGATTTGGATAATATATTCTTAAATTAAATTATATAATTCAAACTCAGATTATTAAGGTTAGATTTGGATAATGATTATCATTGTTTGATTCAGATTATGATGTGAATTGTGACTTTATAGATTTTAAAGACACGATGTGCTAGATGATGTGAATTAAAATGTGATTTGTATAATGTTTGATTTAATGTGTCTCTCTGTACGGTGCAATATTTTTTTTGTTAGTTATCTGATTGATTGACATTTTCTTTGTTTATTGTGACCATAGTTGTTTTGAGATTATTGATTGTATGGTATTTTGTTTGGAAAATGTCTTGTGAAATGTTGATATATCGAACTTAGAAATTAGGCAATGCATTTGGATTATTTATATATGTAATATTTATTCATTCGGATAAAATTAGAATTCTGATGATATATGTTGTCAAGTTATATAAGGATGTCACTTTGGATTCAGTGGCCTCTGCCTTTGTGGCAGACCCAAATTTGGATGATTTGTAAGGTGTAAGGGTGCATGATTATTTGCATAACATTCGAAAAATGATTATTATTGCTTGTTTTAGAATATTATTATTATTATTATTTGTTGTTTGAAAAGTGTTATGTAAAATATGTTGATATATCAGATTTAGAATTTATGAGATGCATTTAGATTATTTGTATATGTAATATTTTGCATTCGGATTAGATCAAAATTCGAATGAAATATTTTATCATGTTATATTGGGTTTGGATTGATAGGGGAAGTTTAGTGTATTCACTTGATGTGTTGAAAATCACTTCGAATTAAGTGGCCTTTGTCTTTGTGGTAGACCCTACTTCGGATGGTGTGTTGTAGTTAGTGGTTGTATGGAACATACGTTTCGGACGGTGTGTAAGGTGTATGGGTGCATTATCATTTACATAATATACAGACTGTGATTATCATTGTTTGATTCGATCTATGATCTGATTACTTGCTCAGTATTTGGTGACAGTTTTTCCTAGAATTGATGACAGTGCCACCAGTAGAGTCTAAGCTAAGAGTTTTCTTATTCAAAATACAATTTTATTCCCAGGTATGAGGAGAACCTGTGTACTCAGATTGGTATGAGATGCTTTCTACTGTTGTTGTCACCTAATTGGTGCTTCTTGCACCTTTGCAGGTTTCTGATCTTAGAAATAGTTTGGACATTGTAAACTCTGCTGTTGGAGAGGCAAGTTAAGCTTTTTTTGGACATAAATTAGCTTTTCCAATTAAAGGTATTATTTCTCCTGAAGATTTTAGTCATTTAAACCATTTCACCAATGCATTCACCAGGTGAGGAATTCGGTCAAATTGAAAAGGATCATGCAAACTATTCTTTCTCTGGGAAATGCTTTGAACCAAGGAACTGCTAGGGGTGAGTGATTTAACTGAGGAGGTATATTTTATTAATAGATGAAGAACTATCTTATTTTAGTCATCTTTTTGTATCCCATTCTGCTTAGATAAATTTGTTAATGGGAAACAAGGTCAGTCTTTTCACTTCTGATTTGCCTTCTGTTATTCTTCTTGAATGAGTTGTGTATTTTCACTGTTTTCTTATTGTTAATTGAGTCTCTTAAATGTTTAACACGGTCCTGTAATCCTGTATTTTTACCTTAACTGCTAAGAATAGAAATCGAATCCCTAGATGTCATATCTGTACAAATTTTTCAAGAAGCATCAATTTGCTCCAAACATTTCAGAAATTTATGGTTCGTCCCCACAGGTTCTGCTGTTGGTTTTCGGTTGGATAGTCTCCTTAAACTCACAGATACACGAGCTCGGAATAAAAAGATGACTCTCATGCATTATCTTTGTAAGGTACAAGACCATCTACCTTAATTTTCTTGATTCTGATCTTTCCTGTTAAATTTGTTTGAATAACTTGAATATTCTTGTACTCCTACACTTATGTTTCAAGATGGAATGCCTGTCTTATTGTACCAAGTAAAATGCTTGAATGCGTGCAGACATTCACTGCATCCTTTTTCAATTTTGTTGAAGACTAATTTTCAAATTTAAAGGTTACTAATATCATGAAAATTATTGCAGAAAATGCATGGTATGTTGGGTTGTTTTACTTTTGCAATCATTAACTTATTGCCATAGTAGAAAATGCTTTTATTGACATTGCAAACCATACCTTATTATATGTGAGAATGTCGATTTATACTTTACTCTTTACGGCCTCTAACTTTTAGGTCCTGAGCCAAAAGTTGCCAGAATTAATAGATTTTCCAAAAGACCTTGCGACTTTGGAATCTGCAACAAAGGTAAGATTTTTATGGCCTTTTCAGGTCATATTTAAATTGCTTAACCTTTTCCATGTGATGTTAAGCAAAATTATTGATTACCATGCAGGTACAATTGAAATGTTTGGCAGACGAGATGCAAGCCATTAGTAAAGGGTTGGAGAAGGTCATCCAAGAACTAGCTGCCTCGGAAAAGGATGGTCCAGTGTCTGCAACATTTTGTAAGGTATTTCCTATACATTAAATTGCTATTTTGCATATCAATCAGGTTCTGCACATTTACATGTCGGTTGGATTTTCTTCTTATATTTCATGCAGTGCCTGTTAGGGACACCACAATCTTGGCTTTCCAAGTCTCCAAACCCGCTCTCCCCCCTTCCCTTAACTAAAATACATAATCTTTAAAGAGGAACAAGATGGTGCATTAAAGTTCTCAATCAGGATCTTTAGTAATTATTAGGTCAGTTTTGGCCTTTGCAGAAGCTAAATGGGAAGTTTAACTCAACATTGGTTAAAAGAAACTTGATTAGAGCTGTTTTGATCCGAGACTTTGATCAAAATCTCTTGAGCTTTAATCTCATGCAATATAGTCTATGATTCAGCGTTGGCTTTAATCTTTAGAGCCATTGGATTGAGATAAATCAAAGATTGAGATTAATTCGTTTTTTTAGTGAATATCTTTTCATTTTCCACGATTAATTTCACTCTTTAATTTCTCCCATCTACTGGTCTTAAAATGGTATAAACTAAAAGAGTTTTACACAGTATAATTAGATCCTGCCCTATATAATAACATTAATATTTAAATTATAGATTTAAATTATATTAATATGTTCTTAACATAAATAATTTAAATAATTCTAATATTATTTATATATTTTTAAATTAAATTAATTTATTCTTAAATTATATTGTTTATATAGTTTATAAATATAATAATATTATAAATATCATAAGAATTTAGGTATAATTACCCTTTTATCCTAAGCCAACGGTTGAAATCCCATCTATAAAAATAAAAACTGAGCACTACTTATCACCCATTTAAGAAACTTGCCCATTGATTATATCAATCAATTCTTTAGATTCTCAGGTTAGTTTCTTTTACCCAATTCTTGTATCTGTTACATTTTTCTTTTAATTTATACTTTTGTTAGATTATATTTTGTGATGAATTTTTTCTGGGTTTTTTAAAAATTTGATTTATATTCTGATTACAGATTAGGGATTTTGTTTTTTTACCTAAATCTAATAAATTGTTGACATTTGAGTTTTCATTTCTGATTACATGTTAGTGTTGTTTTGAACCTGTTATTTCATTTGCAAAGGTTTCTCAGTTCTGCATGTGACCAATTCCCTTTTATTTATGTCTGGTTTGGTTTCTCTTTTGTTGCGTTTCTCTGTGTTTGCTTAGTAAGAAAAAATACGAAAAATAAAATTTAGGACATTGTATTATTTGTTTGTAAAAATAGTTTCTATGTACTTCCATTTTCATTGTTTTCACATGTTGATGCCTTTGGTCTAGTGATTCAATTTGCTTTCTTCAGTTAACTCTGCCTTTTTTTATTCAAATTATTTTTTTAATGTGACAATCGATGAGTTATTTTTTTATTGCATGAATATGTTTATAATAGGCTTTCAATTCAGGTTTATTCTTCATAATTTCTCATATTTTGTTCCTTTTAATTTTGGTTTTTTCTTGACTTAAAATCTTTGAAACGTTTCAAATATGGATGATATTTTACTTTTATACAAGGGTTTGTTTACCTGATATTGATACAGCTTCAAGGGTTTACTATGAAACAAATGGTGTATCCATGGAAGACATGTGAAACTATCTGGTGTTCTCATGGACTAACCAAGGGTTCACTGGTTTACCTTAATTGTCCTGTCCAATTTATGTTTAAATCTACAAAGGTAACTATCCTTGAATCCAGGAACAACACAGGTTTAGCCTTAAAATTCTCTTTCTTTTTTGTTTGAAACTTGGAATAAATAAGCCAATGAAGTAGTGGCAATTTTTATGAATATGGATGATTTGTTTACAGATGGAGATGCTATTTTGCTCAACGGTAGTTGATATTTCTTTCTTACTTGAGCCAATGGTTCTAACTAGAAAGATCTTTAAGGCATGGAATTCTTGTTCTCAAGTAAGCAACAATACCCTTTTTTTATTATTTGATTGACTTCTTTCTTGCACCCCCACCCTCCTGCATTGCCAGGGGTTGGGCTACATGAAATAATTATTGACATTGAAGATTTAATGCAGAAATCCAAAGTTGTGGAGACTGGCGAGCACACTCTAGCAATGCTTAAGGC